GGGGGGGGGGTCCCAGCCGTTTACAGCCCCAGGAAAAACATTCCGTTCAGGATCCGGCGAACCTCCCGCCGGACCCTTGATTGTCTTTTGCCAACCAGAGCCCGGGTGCTGAGCATCGGAGGCCACCCTAGAGGGAGAGAGGAAATAAGTCCTCCCTGTGGCCGGCCGCTCGGGGGACAGAGGGATGCGCGGACGGGAGAGTCCTGAAGGGCCACCAGGTCCCGCGAAGCACGTAGGCTTCTGGGGAGAGGGTTCGAACCTCCCTCCCTTCCCCTCTGCGTCTTCCTGTGCCCGCGGCGGCGTCGGTAGAGGACCTCCCTTGGGAGCGCCCAGGGGAGCCGGCAGGTGGCCACCCACAGCTCAGTCCAGGGCACGATTCCCCGAGTCCCGCGTCTTCAGGGAAACATAACTCTGGGCTGCCGGGAGGGATACTGTTGCAACGGGACCGGCGTGTTTCGTAGGAGGGCTCCCCGCCGCTGGTCCATCACACCGCCCCGCGCAGTCCCGGGGACATTCAATCTCCTGCCCCCTCCCTCCTGCCACAAAATCGCGAGGAGCCCTGGTGTAACCCATCGGGCGGACGCTTCGATCTTTCCTGGCGTCTCGCCATCCCGAGCCAGAGGCAGTCACTTGATCAGTCCTTGCCCAGTCCAGGGATCGTCTGGGACAAAACCTGGCCCTGCATGTCATGCCCAGGGTCCCACTGCAGCTTAGGGCTGACGAGGGGAATGGCGCTGGCTGGTGGGACCGCGGTGCGGGGGTGAGGCAGGCGGGCCTGAGGGGAAGCACGGAAGGGGGGCTTCGAGCGCCCCCGGTCGTGGTCAGGGTGTCCGTGAGTCAGTGAGCACGAGTCACTGCGAGTCGGGCCCTGTCTGAGAGCGAGGGATGCAACCAAAGGTAGAAAACCGGCAACTGTAAGAGCCCGACGGAGGACACGGGAGTTCTGCGGGGAGCTGGCCTGCGGTGTGCTCAGATACGCCCGGCGGAGGGTGCCCCGCACCCCCCCCCTCAGGGCGCCCGAGGCGCTTCCTAGAAGACGTATCATCTTGCTCATCCCTGGCTCTGGAGCCACCTCAGCCAACCTCTAGTCCCCATCGGCCGAGAGCGGCTCTTTCCAGCCTCCGAGGACTCTCCTTTCTCAGGCTTTTTGAAGAAAATGTTCACTTCTGAGGAGCAGTCAGGGGCTCACAAACGCCCACCCTCGGCCCCTGAGCCATCTGGCTCCTGTGTCCTCTGGATTCAGCAGCCTCTGCATGAGGGACACACTCAGAAAGCCCACGGCTCCCAGGCTGAAAGGGCAGGACCCGGCCTCCCGAGCCAACGTTTCTGCACGTGACCCCGAACCTTCTCCGCCTCAGGCCCCACAACTCTGAACAGCGGGCCCCTCTCGTTGGACCCGGTCCGAAGCCTTTTGCTCCCTCGAGTCCCAGGGCAGCCCGGGGCCCAGGAGAAGGGCCTCCCCCAGCCCCTGTGATGAATGGCAGAGGTCACCCAAGCTCAGACTCCACCTCCACCTGGAACAAGTTCGTCTTGGGGGGTCAGGGGATGCTGCATGGCCTGTTCCCCAGAGAGAAACAAGCGCTGTGGTGCCAGAGGGTTGGGGAGACCAAAGCAGGGAAGGGACCCCACGCTCCAGCCAGGGGGAGGGGAACCGGGACCCAGCTAACTCCTGTTAGGGTGCTTCTCCCTTGGTTGGGCTGAACGACCCCGGGAAAGTGAATTTTCAGGACTATAGGGTGGCAGTGTAGCAGGTAAGGCCGCAGGAGTCGAGCGACACGACTCAAGTCTGAGGTGTGCGACCTTGAGCACCTTATAAAGCCTTTCGGAGCCGTAGGAAATGGGCCGCGAGGGTATTACAAGTACCTGCCTGGAGGAACAGAGCACCAGGGGTGCAGCCGCTGAGCATAGGACATGGGGTGACACACGCTGGGTGTCATCAGCATCAGACAGGGCGAGCTCTTGGTAGAGAATCACACCGGTTCCCTTCTTGGGGAGCAGAGGGGGGGGCTGGAAGTTTCTCTGGACAGTCGCTGGGGACGAGCAGAAATGCCCGAGACAGAGCCTGGGCAGCATGAGTATCCTCCTGGAAGGCCGGCAAGGGGAGGGGGCAGAGGAGAGGGTGACCCCCACCCTGGCCTGGACCCCCTGCCCAGCCCAGACTGGACCCCACACCCCGGAGCTGGCTGCGGGACGAGCAGTCGTGACCATCATGGTTTCGGCGAGTGGACCAGGTGGGACTGGGGGGGTTGGAGCCACAGCCGCGGCCCGTGACCCGCTGGGGGAACCTCTGGGCCCAGGGAGCTCGGCCCTGGGGTCCCCGCCCCGCCCCCCGCGAGGGGACCAGGGAGGGGAAGAGGGCTCCTGGTCCCCAGCCGCTGGTGGCTGATTCTCTAGCGCGTCCCCCTGCGGCGACCTGGTGGGGACACTGACGGGGCGACGCCTCTGGGGTTCAGCTGGCAGCGCCCCGTTTCCCTGCGGCCTGGAGTAGACGCCGCACGAAAGGCGCGCTCGGCGGCCGGTGCGGCCACGGGCGAGGCTTCGGGTCGGCAGCCCCCGACCGGCAGCGAAGTTCGGGGGGAGCCAGAATGTCACCCCCG